GTCGTCGTCGTCGTCGTCGTCGTCGAGAAGGCTTCGCGTCTTAATTTTCGAATCGTACTTTCGCGCGTCGCGATATTTGTGCGACGGACGATCGACGTGGAAAGCCAAAATCGCGATTTCGCGACACCGGTCTGGACGCGCGCTTCGCGGTCGGACGATCTTTGAGCGTCGAGAGGTACTTTGGAGGTATTCGCGCCGATTTTCAGCCATTTACGTGGAATGGAAGGACGTCGGAGGAGCAGATACGGCGGTTCGGAACGTCTTCGAAAATATACAAATACGAAGTTATACGGGAACGAAGCTATCGCGCGCGGGCCGTCCGTTTCGAGAGCGAAGTCGGAGGCTCCCCGTTTCGAACCGGGAGAGATTCCTCTAGTAGTTTACTCCTAGTGGTGATATATGTGTAATAGTATCGGCAGAGCGTAGCCGAGATCTCGTCGAGGAAGCCTGCTGGAAGCAGCCCAGTTAGCGTTCGCGTGTTTTATATTAAGCTCTAAGCGAGGCTGAATATTTCTTTCGGTGTTGGTTAATCGACAAGTCGAGATTAACCATGCTTTTCTGCTCACTTTTCGTTCTCGATAATTCACGATCCGTCCCGCCGTACCGCGGGGCGCGGATTCTTTCGCGCTGCTCGTCCTCGGTCGCGGAGAGATTCCGTCGGTCCCCGTCGTCCCTTCGTTTCCGTTTTCAAATCCGAGCGACCGGCACGCGGATCGCGTATTTCGAAACGGAGCGAGAGAGAGAGAGAGAGAGAGAGAGACCCGGAAAGTATTTCCGTCTCGTGTCATCGCGTGCATTTCCCGACAAGCGTCGGTTCTTCGTTCGCAACGAACCACGGTGTTACGCGTAAACGTTAAAATAGAATGGCACGCGTATCGAGTGGAATCGCGGAACCGCGAATCGCGAATCGCGAATCGCGACCACCTTCCGTCCGTTTCGTCCTTTCAGAATTTTATACCGCGATCAGCGAATCGAATTCACGCGGGTCCGAGATCCCGGAAAGTCTCGTCGTTCGTTCGTTTTCTCTCGTCGTTCCGGCGGTTTTCTCTCGTCGTCGGCGATTATTTTTCTCTCGCGCTGCGACTTCCGTCGCAGCCGCGTCGATCGGCTCTTCTCGATCCTCGTCGAAAGGTCGATCGGCAAGCATCGTTGATCTCTTCCAGTGACCGAGTGGCAGAAACTCGAACGGCGATTCCAGTTCTTGGAAAGCGCGGAGGGCGGCGCGCGTGCCCGCGAAGCGGACGGATCGTCGAAGGAGACCGATTCGGAGGATCGCGAAACATGAGCGGATTCCGCGGTCGTCCGCGAGCAGTTCCAGCAGAACGATCGTTCGGCCGGCCATCCCCTCGAGGGCGGAAGATCCAGCGAACGTTCGCGAGCTAGAGAGAGAAGACGGCGGCGATGCTCTGAGGCCGAAATAATGCACGGAAGAGGATCGTCGACGGCACAGAGCCGACGGTGGTGCCGACAGAGTCGACAGATCCGACCGGACCAAAGGATCCTGCGTCGTCGAGGTCGTCTCGCGAATCCTTCGACGGGAGCGGGACCGACTCGTTCCGCGATCGATTGACGAGCCAGATCGCGCAGAGCGGAAGCGTCCGTTCGGCGGACGTCCTCGAGACTCGGACGGTTCTCGAAGCTCCCGCGGAGCGGTCGCGGCCTTGGCCAGGGTCGAAACATGCGATAGATCGTGGATCGTAGATCGGAGGGACCGGACGATAAGCGTCGCCGGCGCGTCGCTCGGCGTCGCCGCGATCCACGATGCTCGACATATTCCGAGGCCTGAAGAGCCTGATTAAAATTTCGCACGTGCACATCGACACCGCCGTCTTCCGGTTGCACTACAGCCTCACCGTGATCCTGTTGATCGCGTTCTCGTTGATCGTGACCACGCGGCAGTACGTCGGCAATCCGATCGACTGCATCCACAGCAAGGATCTGCCGGAGGACGTGCTGAACACCTACTGCTGGATCCACAGCACCTACACGATCACCGCGGCCTACCGGAAGCGAGAAGGCGTCGAGGTGCCGTTCCCCGGCATGGACAACTCCAAGTCCCATCCCGAGAGCGAGAGGAAGGAGTATAGGTACTATCAGTGGGTCTGCTTCATGCTGTTCCTTCAGGTAATTCCTTCTCGGGGATACTTCCACCGCCGGGACGCGACCCGTCTCGGGTATATCGGCACGCTCGCGGAGGTCGGGTCGGGTCGCGAACTCTTCGAAACAGTTTCCACGCTTTTCACCGTTCCCATAGAAAATCGTCCCTGCGTCTACCCGAACTCTCCCCTCGATCTTCCTCCTTGCTCCATCTTTGCTATCTTTGCTACTTCGACGCGGCTGGTCGCGCGAGGGGTTCTCATTCTAGGAATCAACTTCTCGAGAGAATCTCGAGTCTCGCGAGTCGTGGAACGTGGAAAGTTTCCTTTGGGATTGCTCGTTACGAGATTTTTAGTACGTTCGACGACGAAGGATGCGACCCCGAAGAATCCCACAAAGTTACCCCGTCCGGTTTAGTCGATTACAGAGCGGTCGCTCCGTACTTCGAGCGATGTCTGCAACGAGAAAGTACTCGCGCAGCGAAAGCACGAGGGATCGATAAGATTCGATTCGCGCAAACATGCGATGGAAAAACGACGACGTTCTCAGGGTGAACTCGTCGATACGATTTTCTTCCGCTCGCTCGTAATTTAGAAGAAATCGCCGTTGCTCGTCGTACTCGTATCGTTCGAAATCGTGCGTTGGATTCCTGCGACGTTAAAGTTGCGCGGGGCATTTTTACCGCCCGCGAAAAGCGCATTTCCGCGGACCGAGGACGAGTTCTCCGCGAAAGGATCGCCCTTACACCGCGAAAGGGCGACGGCGACCGCTCCCCAGAAGAGAGCACCCTCCGACGGAAGCGACGACTTAACGAAGCGCCAAGGACTCGGAAGGTTGCTTTCGCCGGTCGATGAAGCTGCGCGTATCGGTGCATATGCATTATAGATAGATTTGGCAATGAGAAAAGCCGGATAACGAACGAACCAGTTGCGGCTACGCTCCGAGGAATTTACTCGCTGCTTACAGAAGCTTATATCTAGTTCATTGCCAAGAAGGAAACCCTAAGCATATTAACTCCTTAAACCCGTAGCCGTTGCCTGCTCGTCGCCGAGGGTCGCTGTCGCGTTCGCCTTGACGCTCGGTCAAAGACAATCCTCCACCCTCACCTTTCAACCGATCGTTTCGCATCGCGTCGCGTCGCGTCGCACCGTTGTTGCTCGTTCTCGAACGATCGCGGCGCGGCTCTCGATAACCGTGCTATCCGTTTACAGTTTACAGTTTTTAGTTTCCTATCGCCGATATCGTCTTTCTCAGAATTCTCCCGAGAAGACGACGCAACCGCGCGACCGAAGCTGCGCAACGCGAATATTTACGCGCGCTCAGAGTTATTGGGTTGGCAATTAAGTAATTGCCGATTTGTTCGATGAAATAAACAATTTTGTTTTACTTGGAACGAAGTTTAATCTGTAATGTATTTTCCATTTTGTTCGACGACCTTTCGCCGTCTCTCCGACAACTTGAAAATTCCACGCTCGTAAAAAGTCTGATCCTTTTCGGGCCAAAAACTGAGTTAAGCGAGATTTTACAGCGTCATCGTCGGAGTTGTCCAGGGATCGAAATAAGTGGTGATCCGATGGCGCGAGATCGGGGCTATATGCTGGGTGTAACATCGATTCCCAAGCAATATCCATGAATTTTTGCCGAGTGGACAAAGACGCGCGCGGCCTAGCATTGTCCTGCTGAAAAATGATACCTTTACGATCGACCAATTCTGCTCGCTTTTCCTTGACCGCTGCATTCGATTTGTCCAGTTGCTAACGTTCGCGGATTATAAAAAAATAACATAATAATAATAATAATATTAATAATTTTATAATATAACATTCACGGAGAGAGAGAGATATCATAAAAATGGGAGTGGGAGACGTCTATAACTGAAATCGGCAATTACTTAGTTGCCAACCCAATAAATCCTTCCGCATCGATCGCAGGGGATTCGAATCGATCAGCCGTCTCGATCGATCGATGATTTATAATTTCCGCTATTTGCTTCGTCGAGAGGACGACAGGAACGAACCGAACCGTTCCGGACATTATGTCACGAGCGCGCGTGCACCTTCGAAACTGCATTACTCTAAACCAATTAGATTCGACGTACAAAAGTAACGACGATAACGATGGTAATTCGAGGGAAATTCTTCGCTGGGAAGGACGCGGACGAATACGTAAGAAATCCACCGAAATCCAACGACGGAACAACCGTTTCGGACGAAATAGCGCGTACTGTAAATTGAATTTGGATTTAAACGCTCGCACAAGTAATCGCGAAAACGCGAAAAGCGATAAATACTCTTTTCGAACGATACGGTCGAGCGAACGCGTTTCCACCGTGCTCATCGGGACGAGGAAAGTGCGGCAACCGGAACTCGGAATCGCAATTGGAACAAGCCGTTTCGGCGACTCGACGATGAACGAGAAGTCTCCCAACCCAATTATGAAACGATGCGATGGAACGGATCCAATTGCTTCTCCAAATAATTCAATTACCCTCCAGTGTTGCTGAAACGCTAATTCGGCGCGGTGCAGACGCCCGATCTACCTATATATAGAGCGACAATGACCCGAATGGTTCTCTCTTCTTCTTTTTGCCTCCGGATCTCGTTGTCGGCGTCCCTTTTCCTTTCCACCGATTCGCGACACCGACAGAGAGAGAGAGAGAGAGAGAGAGAGTGTGTGTACCGCCGGCCGCTGGCCGCTGGCCAATCCTTACCAATCGGGAGATATTATTACACCCGATACCGTAATACGCGCATCTTTTCACTTTTCCAAGACCGCGTCATCGATCTATTGATATCGTGCTGCATCGGTGCAGTAACGAGAAACGAGCAACGAGCAGCGAGGAGATAGCGGTGGTAGTAGTAGTAGTAGTAGCAGAACGAAGAATCGGTGCGCGGTGCTGCGCGAGCGAGCAACAAATTCTTGCGGGATAAACGGGTAATGAGTTGGTAGGGGTGCGGAACGATCGTTGCACCGCGGTCTCGCGCGAGGAAGGGTGCGACGTTTCGCCAGGGGCAAGAGAACGATACTGGAAGATCATATAAGTCGTGTGTTCGGCATCGAGGCCAAGGGATGCCTCTCAAGTTCGTCCAGTCTTCCGACGGCTCGCTTTCGCGACCCACGTGTGTCTGTCGAACTCTCGATCGGTCCGAATTCTCGATCCGTCCTCCCGTTCCTTCTACTCGTTCCCGCGTCGCGATCGAGAAACGGTGTCCTTCTTCTTCGGCTTTATCTTCCACTTTTCTCTCGGTTCTTTCGGTTCTTCGTTTTCCGACCGCGAAACTTTCGCAGAGTGGTTCGAAAGAAAGGGAAGAGAGCGCGCGACGATTCCTCCGCGTTTCGAGCGGATCGTCGCCGACGCGAACCAGCGGTTTTTATCAGCGGGTTACAAAGTGTTCCGCGTCTTCGACCGTTCGCGACCGACGCCGCTCGGCATCGAGGTGGTGCGAGCACGATTCGAGAAGCGAAGCGTCCGTTTATCGATAACGATGACGGGCGTGTGATCTTTTCATCGTTGTTCGCGGACGGTCGACGTTCGAAACGCGCGTCTCGACGATTATCAGTTGCACGCGCGATTGGAAACAACGCGATATCCCGGACAGTTCTCTCGAATCGAATTCTTAACGCGAGAGCGAGCCTCGTTCGGAACGGCCATCGTTCCGAAATTACGTCGTTTCGAGATTCTTCGGGGAACCGATCCGTTTCGAAAATAGCTGGTACATATTTTATGAACTGTTACGAACAGCGTTAAAAAAGAACGTTTGTCAGCGTCTCGTCGAATCGAGATATTTCGATTGTCGACGTCGCGTTCGCTCGTTACTCGATCCCCGGAGAAATTGGAAACAACGATAGCTGGCACGCGCGTAGCCCGCGATTTCGGAAATCGGAACTGGCAAGTATCTAGCGTTACTTTCGAACGTTTCGTCGCGCGATTCGAGAGAGATCGAAATTTCGCGTTCTCTTCTTCGTTCTCGCGCGAGGCTACACCGCCGTTGGTTCGCACGGGCGAGACTCGCGATCGACGTTGTTCGGCGACGGCCGAGAATGGCCCGCGGATAACCGCGGATAACCGCGGATAACCGCGGATAAAAAGCGTCGGAGATCGGAAGGTGTCCGGATAAGCGAGCGGCGGCGAAAGAAATGGGCCGAAAGGACGAGGAAACGATCAGCGAGCCCGAGGATTCGATGGCCGGCCGGATCTCGAACAGCGAAACGGAAACAGCAGCAGCAGCAGCAGCGGCAGCACCATGCACGTAACGAAGACTCTCTCATCGACGAGAGCGGAGCTGTTTCACGCGTGGCCCGAGATCGTCCTCGGGTAGGACCCGTGGAACGGGTCTTGGTCGTTGCAAGGAGGAGCGCGCGTTCGACGGCGCGTTCGATAACGGGTGCGGGAGCGGGAGCGAAAGCGAGAGCGAACGCGAAAGCGAGAAGCTTCGAAGATGCCTCTGATGCTGAAGATGGTCGACGTGTTCGGCTCCCTGCGGTCCCTGTTCAAGGTGCCGAGGATCGCCGAGGACGCGATCGTGTTCCGGCTGCATTACCGCGCCACCGTCGCGCTCCTTCTCGGCGGCTGTGTCACGTTGGCTTGCAAGAGCATCTCCGGCTCGCCTATTCACTGCGAGGCCGCCGGCTCCGTCGACAAGGTCGTCTTGGAGACGTTCTGCTGGCTTCACACCACCTACAGCATGGTGCACGCGTTCAACAAGAGCATCGGCCAGGCGGTCCCCTATCCGGGCGTGTCGAACAGCAAGGGCGTCGGCCACCACGGCTACGCGTCCCATCCGTTGGTCAAACAGCACAAGTATTATCAGTGGGTCATCTTCTTTCTGCTGCTCCAAGTACGAGTCGAGTCGCTCACTTTCTACGATCGTTCGTAAGACGGCTAGAAACGCGTCCGTTTCGTTCGCTTCGTAGCCTAGCGTAGCATGTATGTAGCATAGAATAGAGCGTACCGTATACGTACAGGGGGTCGCATCTCGGAGGATTCGGCTCGAAAGCGAGAGTACGTACGATACGACGTATATTATCCTCGGTTGCCGCGAGCCGTCGACCAGATTCGAGCGATTCGAGCGGAAAATTGTCCGCATCGGTGGCGAGTAACGAAGGAACGCGGGAGTTCGAAAGAGGCGCGTGCCGCCTCCTCTCGGCGAATTCGGTAAATCGAAGAGACGATATCTCTCCTCGTCGATTTCCCGGACTCGATATTCGGCAATTTCTGACTCGAATCGGAATCGCAGCGAATTCGAACGTTCGCGCTTCGAGCCCGGCGCCGCGCGCCTCGGTCTCCGGCACGTCCGCTTTAAAAATCATCGGCCGTTCGAATTTTAATCGATAGCGCTCTCTCTCTCTCTCTCTCTCTCTCTCTCTCCCCGTTGGCCGTTCCGGCGAGCCGGCTCAAAGAATTTATATTAATAACCTTGTTCTTCGGAAGAAAAAGCGCATTCGTCGCTTCCTGGTTATCGATCGATCGCGACCAGATTATAAGCGTGCTCTCGCGAGCCAAGGTCGCCGGGGGACCTTCGGTCGGCTTCGGCCTGCCGGTAATACGCCGAAGAGAGGACAAAAATTCTTTCCCGATCGAGCGGATCCGCGAACGGAGGGCTGCGAGCAGGGTGGAAACGTCCCGTCGATTCGAAGACGCTCGATCGGGTCTTCCTCTCGTTTGGCTCGGCTCCGCGCGCGGAACGACGCGTCGAGCCGAGCGGAGCTGGCACGCGACGCGAGCGCGGTTATACCATAGCTACGGCTCGTGCTATTTTCATCCGCGGATTTTCCCTTTTCGTTGGGTTCCCGTAGACGCCGACGTTCGACCCTGTTCTCGGCATTCCCGATTCCCGATTCCCGATTCCCGATTGCCGCGACGATTCGCGCCAGGACGTTTCACGCCTGCTCGATTCGTTCGCGAGCGGACGCTCTCCTCGCTAACCTATATTCGCGTTCGCGATTCCAGATGCGAGAAAATCGTCCGAAACGTTCTCCGACGAGCGAAGTGCGTCGTCGGCTTCTCGTCGACGCTTTCGATCGCGAGGATTCGGAGAAAACGGCTAGCCGAAAGCACCTTCGAACGATTTTCTCCGATCGAGGCAACGATATTTCACTCGCGTTCGTTCCGCGTGTTCCCGTTTACGCGTGGCGTACGCGAACGTTTTAAGACCAACATCGCGAAGTTTAACGGCTCTTGTAACAGAATTCCGCCGGTGATACATTTAGGCGGCTACGGGACAACGTAAACTCGTTACCGAAATGAATTGCCGCTAAATCAACAACCATTAATCGATACGCCGCGCCGCGCCTCGCCGCCTCGAAACAATACCGCCGTTTAGCGTGATTTTATCGCCCCACGGCGAAACGCGCGACCGATCCGACATCTTTACGCGCGCGGCGGCCCGAACCCCGAACCCCGAAACGAATCGGCGAGGTTCCCTCCCTCGATTCGTCGTCGTAAAAGCTCGACGAATTCCACGGTTCTCGCGTAAACCGAAAACTCTTCCGTCCGTCGTCGACGCTTCCGGCCTTACCGCGGTGTCCGCCGGTTTATTTTATCGCTGGGTTTATTATTAACTGCGCGAACATCGCGGCCCGAACAATTCCTTCTTGGGCGACCGTCTCGCGATTCGGAGAGCAAGATGTTCCGAAGCCCGTTGCGGAACGAAGAGATCTGTCCAAGGCGACGGACCGACCGAAGTCCGATCGATTCGGAATTTAGCGAATTTTTAAAGGAAACGCGATCTTCGAACTCCTTCTCCGCCTCCTTCGCAACTGCGACGATACAACGACCGGCAAAGAGCGTACGCTCGAACGGCGGACCTCTATTATCGGAAGCGTATTGTACCGACTATGGTAACGAAGGCGATCGAACAGGGTGGATTATCGAATCTCGAAAGCGTTCGAAGAATTCGAGAACGGAGAAAGAGAGAAACGATCTCGCGATCGCGTAACTGTTATTCCGCGTAAAGATGAAACATCTCCGGTCCGCTCGTCGTCGACGAAGCGACGGTCGATTCCGCGTCCGAAACCATCGCCAACTATTTACCTAACCCTGACCCAGGTAACAATGCTTCGCGTCGCATCGTGCAACGACCGCGGAAAGAGCGATCGCGCGATCTCGACACCGTGGCACGCGTCGCTGAAATCTGCCGCGAGTTGGCCAACGAACGATACGGAACTGGCAACGATGATAAAAATAACAACGACGACGACGATATTAATAATAACAGTGATAATAATAATAATAATAATAATAATAATAATAATAATAATAATAATAATAATATTAAGAAAGAGAAGCAGCCATGCAACGACGAGATCTCTCGAGAAGAAACGCCAATTAGGCGTGCGGCGAGCTATAGATAGTTCGGGGATCGTTTAACGAGCTAATAATTCTAATCGATCGCACGCGTTCGCGTTCTCGGTAGCCCGGTTAACTCCGTCCCGCGATTTCTGTTCCAGGCGATCCTCTTTTACACGCCCCGATGGCTCTGGAAAGGCTGGGAGGGTGGCAAGATTCACGCCCTGATGATGGACCTCGACATCGGCCTCTGTTCCGAGGTCGAGAAGAAGCAGAAGAAAAAGATGTTGCTCGACTATCTCTGGGAGAATCTTCGCTTTCACAACTGGTGGGCTTACAGGTACTACCTCTGCGAGCTTCTCGCCCTGGTGAACGTGGTCGGTGAGTGACGCCATATTTTACATCGCCTTTCGATCTTTTCCGCGGATCGCGCGTCGCGTTCTTCCGGTCGGGATCGTTCGTCGCGCCGAATCTTTTTCGCGAGCGAACGCGCTTTTCGAGCGGTCTTCCTTCCTTCCGAGTATTCGATTCGATCGAATATCGCAAAGATACGAGTTTACGACGCGTATTCGACGTTTTTACGTTTCGCGGAACCGAATAGCGTGCACGGGGTAGGTCGGTCGAACTTTGAACCGATTCACCGGCACCGCGAACTATTCGCATAGCATAGCAAACGGTACGAGCATGGGAGAGAGCGAAGCGGGGGGCGCGTGTATTTCCGTTCGGCCGTTTTCTCATTTGCGCGGCTTTACCATTTCCTACGAATCTCGGCGGCCCGCGTCGATGTGTTTACCTTCTTCCCGTTATTTGTTTTGTTACTTTTAACGAATCCGTAATTCTCGGCCGCGGCCGACGGACGTTAAATGCCGCGCGTTTGCTTTCGTTATTCCATATTTTTCCCCGAAATCACCGACCGCCACCGATCGCCACCTTTCGCCGATTCGTCCGGGGGATCTTCGTTTTCCTTCGTTTTCCATCGTCGAAGCGATCTCGTCGCTCGTAAACGGGCATCCTGGATCGGGCGAACGGTGAATGAACGATTCGCAATAAAATTTGGCAAGCGTACAGCTGGCCTACGCACCGGGCGGCCAGCCTTCGAGGACCGCCGATCCACGCGGCCATCGGTCGCTATTTATCCAACGCCGCTTCGTTCTCGCCGCGGAACCCTACGATTTCTAGACTCGTCGACGAATTCGTTTCGTTTCCGCGTTTCGACGAGAAAAGAATCCGCTTCGATTCGGAACGAATGTCTCCTAGGCTAACTTTGGAGAATTATTCGAGATCGAACATGCGCAGGTCAAATGTTCCTGATGAACCGCTTCTTCGACGGCGCCTTTTTGACGTTCGGCATCGACGTGCTCCGGTTCTTGGAGTCGGATCAGGAGGACCGGGTCGACCCGATGATCTACGTGTTCCCACGAATGACCAAGTGTACCTTCTACAAATACGGCGTGAGCGGCGAAGTGGAGCGACACGACGCCGTCTGCATATTGCCCTTGAACGTGGTCAACGAGAAGATATACGTCTTCCTTTGGTTTTGGTTCCTCTTTCTCGGCGTCCTTAGCTTCTTCACGGTCCTCTACAGGGTAAGTCGATCCGTTCGGCCGCGAGACATTTTTGGGACGCTCCGTATATACGCGGACAGAATATACGGTATCGGACTCTGTACGGTACGTATCGGACTCCGCCGTCCAGAGAAACAGCCTCGCGCAGAATTCAGCCGTACCTAAAAGGTTCAACTAATCGCGACGGCTTCGACTCGGACGGCGAATATTCGCTTCGAACCGCTCGACCCGCGCGAGGGCAACGATTTCGCCGTACAGCGCCTCCGTTTAACGACCAACGATCAACGGATAACGGTTGACAGCGTTTGGTCGACGGAAAGAAGGCGGAATCCGATCGAACCTAATCTCGACCTCGATCTCGATCTCGATTTCCGGTTCGCAGATCGTGATTATATTCTCGCCGCGGACGAGAGTGTACCTTCTGCGGCTGCGGTTCCGCCTGGTTCGACGAGAGGCCATCGAGACCATCGTCAGAAGGAGCAAAGTGGGCGACTGGTTCCTCCTGTACATGCTCGGCGAGAATTTGGACACGGTGATATACAGGGACGTGATGCACGAGCTGGCGAACAAGCTCGCGTCCAGGCACCACCACAGCGTGCCGGGGATCAAGGGAGAGCTTCAGGAGGCCTGATCGAAGTGAGTCCGGTAGTCTCTTTCCCGTTCGTTTCTCTCTCCGCGGATCTTTCTCCGTTCGTATCGCGCGACGACTTTTGAAACCGATCGGAAGAGGAAAGCGAAGAGTCGTTCTCGGCCGACTTTTTTCCCGCGCGTTCGAGGATACGGGAAAGTTTCGCAGCTTCGTTTCGGCCGCGACGGATCGAATTTGCGCGAAACGAGGGTTCGAGCGCCGCCGTTTGCCCGGTCCATCCGCTGCACAGAAATCCCGCGGCCGACTCGCGCCGTGCAGTTCGATATACGCGACGCGTCTTCGGCGCGGACGGCACCGATGCGCCGGCCATAAATTTCCTGGCAACCAGCGTTTGACGTTTACGCGTTATCCTATTTCGAGCGGTTTAACAACCGCGGCGCAGCGCCGCTAGGGGCTAGAGAGCTTTCCTCTCGAACCCCGCGAGATCCGTTCGATATCGGTTCGAAATAACAACCTTATCTCGAAAGCGACGCGAGGCGCGAGGCGCAACCCGCGAACCGTCAGCCGCGAAATCGAAGAATTCCCGGCGAACGGCGACGCGTCGCTCCCATAGGGTGCACGATTCCGAACGGGAGAACGCGCGGGGCTTTCGCCCGCTTTCGATCGCGACGCCGATCGCTCCACGCGCGACGGAAACTTTGATTCGCGGCCGGCGATTTTCGCGCGTCGCGTTTCAGCGAGCGCGCGGCCGAGCCAGAAGTCGAGAGAAGCTCTATTCGGGTTGCTCGTAAAAGACGTCGACGTTCGCAAATCCGTTTCGCAACGGATGCGAACGCGGGAAATTGTATTCGACGCGTGTTCGTTGGTCGTGGACGAACGTTGATCGTCGGCGATGTTTGTTACAGATTGCCTCGGAGAGCCGTGAAAACCGAGAGGATTCCCGTGGCGAGGCCAGGAGGTGTCCCGACGGAGGCCGACGAAATCGCGGTGGAACGCCGGCAACGGGGACGGGGACGGGGATTCGACGAAACGAGTTCCGAAACGAGACGGATCGCATTTTATTTAATACTCGAATCGTGTGTGTTTCCTTTTTTCTGGTTCGCCGCGCATCGACGAAGGGACGTCGGCGAACGTTGATCGTTATCGTTGCTCGCGTAAAAGACAAAGCCCGACTTCGGCGGCTCTCGCCGAATCGACGACAATTTCTGTGGAGAGAAATCGAAACGAGCGGGGACCGTTCGGCGAGCCGAGAAAATGGCCGCGGACAGCCGTTCGATTCGGCATTTTCTCGCGGGGCGCGGGTTACGCCGGCAGGGCGCGAGCACCCCGCGCTCGCCGCGACGAGAACGAGAACCGATCTCCATCTTCTTCCGCAAAGACTGTGCCAAAGTGCCGACGCGAACGAACCCGCGCGTGCAACTTTTACCGGACTATCGAAATAAATGTATTTTTATTTAAAAGATAAATTTAATAAATACGTGCTTCTATATTGTAGGAGACCGCTCGACGGTACTCGATGATTGAATTTCCCGGAGACGGCGGTGGTCGTAAATATTAATCCGTTCGGTATCGCACCGTTTGTACCGGCTGCGAACAGCGAGTCGGATCACTTTTTGAGGCGGCTGTACGACGTTGCGCGCATACAGGGTGTCCGAAAAGTCGCTCGCGATTGGGAAACGAGGGGTTCCGAGGGTCGGCCGAGCGTACCTCTCGTTGGTCGGTTAAATTTAAGTTCGTTCTTCGCCGATAACTTGTAAACGAAACCGTCTACCTTTTCGGTCACCCTGTACATTTCGACAGCGCCTCGGTCCCATCGCTGTTGCAGGAGTATAAATTTCGAGTGCGCGCGAGTGGCTGTATCTTCGAGCTCGAGGCGAGAGACGAGAGAGAGAGAGAGAGAGAGAGAGAGAGAGAGAGAGAGAGAGAGAGACCAGCGAGGAGACCGGAGAGACGGGAGACGAGGAACGGGCTGCGACGGTGCGCGGTTGGCCATATTCGGAAACGCGAGGAGGACCAACCGGTCCTCGTTGGTCCGCGGCTCGCGAAACTTGGCGTCTGAAAAGGAGGCGCGCGCGCGCGCGCGAGCGCGTTCCTTCTGCGTAACCGAGAGCATCGGTATTTAAAGGATCCCTTATACCCTTTCACTGTCCGCGCCGCGAGCCGCGCGCTCCTCCGGACATTTCCTCGCGTCACTCGCGTTCCAACGCGACGACGTCCCGGCTCGCGGGATCTCGTTACGATAATTACACTCCCTCTATCCTTTCCCTGCTTTCTCTCCGGAGCGAATCTCCGATCGCGATTCGCAAGGGCTACGACCGTCGAGTACCCCGACGCTTCCGAATTCTTCCGGATCTTTCGGTCGTCGATGCGTTCCCCGAAATTCCAGCAAAATCATCCTGGTCTTTCGCGCCGTTCTCTTACAATTCTATCGCGATAAAAGTCCGGGGCGATTTCGTCGCTGCACCGAAGGGAAACTTACCCGAGTCAGAGATTCGGGTCTTGGCAAGTTTATCGTTGAACGATCGTTATCGTATCGCAGAAAATGAAACCGCGTTGGATCGCTCGAAGCGATCGATCGCCGTTGCCGTGTTGCCATCGAACGATCTCCTCTGGCGAACCGAGGCGTCCCGAGGCGTCCCGAGGCGCCCGAGGCGTCCCGAGAAGATTTTTAGCGGATAGATAGGTACGCGAGGACACGATCGCTTTTTTTTAGTAAAACGTATAATATATCGTACGATGTCGGGGAAAGTCGTAAATTCGCTTCGTTTCCGTTAGAAAGTTCTCGAACACACCATCGTTGTCTCGCAGAAATCGTCCAGTTGGCCAGCGATTTGCTCGCCAACGGCGCAGGTTCTCGTCTTCGTCGACGATTGAAATTCTACCCGAGAATCGACACCGCGTTCGCAAAATAGGCTCCGTGCGCGCGCTCGTTTGCCAGCGTGTTCGCAGCTTTTCACGGATACGTCGCTCGTCGAACGTCGCGAACGCGAAGCGTCCGAGCCGCGACCGTACCCGGCTAGATTTTCGCGACGACTCGTAAACGCGAGGAGACTCGTTTTACAACCTCGCCGCGTCGTTCCCCGTCTCGGGATCGAAAATTCTCATCCTCGCCGGTCGGATGCGAAACTTTCGCGTAGGCACTTTTCGAAAACCGCTGGGAGAACGAAAGTCGCCGAGTCGCGACGAGCCGGGACCAAAGGGAGGGGGAACCTTTGGGCGTGGGTGTTTCAAGGTCTCCTGCTCGCCGTTTACGGGTGTATGCAAAACCAGATACGGATTACGGAGTAGCGACACGGCGATGAACGAGACCGAAAGATTTCGAGAGAAGAGTGTGCGCGTGCGCGCGTACGCGTGCGCGCGAGAGAGAGAGAGACCGAGCTTGGCCGATCGGTCCTGCCGCGAATCCGGGACTCGGAGACCGATCGGTCGTCGATCGTGAAACGATCCGAGGATCGATGGAATCCGATGTACCCGATGGTCGTGCGAACGATCGATTCCGTAAGTTTGTCGAAAGCGAGAACCGAATCGCGAGCATCTTCAACTCGCGCGTACGACTTTCGTTTCTTATCCTGTTATTTCTTTTTTTACACAATTTATACAGCCGTTTCCTAAAACCTCGCCGAACGACGTCGACGCGACAGAGTCGACGGTCGAGTGTACGAACCGGACCGTGCGTCGAGCTTGCGCAACTTTCGAAATTGCCATCTTATCGGAACCCGACTCGGCGATTTCTGCGAGTCGATTTCTACCTCCGAGAATTCGAATGCCAATTATATTAGAAGTTGCGGCTTTTCGCGAGCCCGAAAGCGACCGCAACGTTTCGGAAGAATCTGTGGTCGCCCGGGCGAGGCGGCGATTATCGCGAACCGCGTCGCGCGCGGCCCTCTTCGCCGAACGATTCTCGAACGTCTTTTCGAGGTTCGGAGCCTCGGAGCAGCTGAAAAGGAGCAGCATCTCGCGTTGGACCGGGGAGAGCGCGTAGCCGGAGCAGAGGCCAGAGGGGCCCCGATCGCGACGTAAGGCCGCACGCGATCGCGATACGCTCGCAGGCGTAAATAGGTGGGTGGCAGAGGTAGGCAGGAAGGATAGCCGTTCGAAGGCGAGCGCCTTGGAACGAGAGAGGGAGTCGAACCGAACCGAGCCGAGAGCCGAGAGCCGCGAGCCGCGAGCCGAGAGGTCTCTCCCGTCGCGGGTAGAGGTAGAACGGAACGCCGACCGCCGAGTCGGCACTGAAAAGCGACGAAGCGACGAGCGAGTTCAGTCGCGGCCGCGCGATCGCGTCGGACGATATTTAGGTGCGCGGTGGAACTCGACGACCGGAACGTGATCTAACCGCCGAGTGGCTCGAAAAACGAGACCGCGTCCTCGCACGCGTCGCCTGCGACCAGCCTCTGGCCCGACAAGGTAGGAGAAACTACCCGCGATACGCCGCACCTACGGCCGAACTCGTTGCACGATTTTGGCTCGGTCCCAGCTCGGTCCTGGTTCCGCGCGCGCGACGCCGTTTCTCGAACGCCGAACAGCCGGGTGCGACGCGCGACGAGAGAGAACGGAGTCCGCCGACTGCATCGGCGAACAATGGTCGCCGCGGTGGGTTCCCTTTGGGTCGAGCCAACGGTCGCCGCTGATCTTGGACAAAGACATTCCCGGTAACACCCGCTCGAATTCCACGGGACCGATCCTCCGCGTCTCTTTCGCTCTTCGCCCAATTTCCCCGTCGGCGACCCTGCGCGACTTTTCTTTTCGAGATTCGGCTCTCCGCCGTGCGTCCCGTTTCCACGGAACGGAAAGGACGAACGATTCCGTTCGTTCGGGGCTGGAAAAAGATCTCGCGGCGGATCCCCGTTAATCGCGACCGTTAATTACTTTCACCGAACGATCGCGGAGGAACCGCGCGGGTCGCAGAATCGAAAGCGGCGACTCGAAACTCGAGACTCCGGACTCGGGGTATCGGCTCTCGCGATCCGCTCGATCGAAACGAATCGCTGCATGCTCGGCTATATCGCACGGGGCACGGCGCGCAGGGAGGTCCCCGGCGCGTTCCGGCGGCTTCTACGTTTCGGCCTTAAAACGGCGAAACCGCGCGGATAAACGATCCGGCTTCGGCTCCGGTTCCGACACCGGGTGCCGCCCCCCCGTCGAAAACCGGTCCTGCCCGCGGCTCGCGGCTCGCGGCTCGCGGCTCCCGGCCGATTTTGCCTGGCGAACGCGCGACCGCCATCTTGGATCCGACGGGGATGACGTCATTGGTACAAGGTAGACAGCACACGCTCGGGCCCGCTCGCCTCGTTTCGCGGTCTCGCTCGCGCTCGCGCCCGATTCTAGCGGCATGGCAGCTAGAGATGGGAACGGAGCCTGCGCGGCCAATAGCGACGCTTCGACGACCAAGCATCGATATTCCGCCTCGCCTCGCCTCGCCTCGCCGCCGACTCTGACTCTGACTTTCTTGAACCGTGCTCCCGCTGCCGTGTTGCCGCTGCCGCCGCAGCCGCTGCCGGGCCTACGAACCTCTTCAAGGGCTTGCCCGTGGCTCCTCTGTTCGCTCCGAATAATCTGCCTATCGCGGCCCGCCCGGAGGGGAATCGCCTCGACTATTTGGTCTTTCGATACGCGATCGAGCAGCAGCAGCAGCAGATTCGGTATCGCGCGGCCAAATAATGCTCGTCGTTTGCCAATAATCGTTTGCCATGCGTGTCCGAACTTTTCGTTCGCCGATCGTTGCGTTTGTTCGCCTTTTATTTACCCGAAGCCTATCGATCCTTTTACACCGCGATCCGTCCGGATAACCCGGTTATACGATTTCGTAGAACGGCGAACAGCGGCAGAAACGTTGGCCCGCCGCGGTTTATTTGGCCAGCCGTACGATTTCGTTTTTTCCGAGCTCCGTGAACCGGCGGATACCGTTCGTAGAAACTTGCGCTTTCGTTGCTCGGACGATCGATCCTTCTCGTCGTCGTCGTCGTTTGTATACGCGTTCCACGCGTTCGCACCGAGCGCTCTCCATTACGAAGATTACGGAATAATCTCTTCCGTTCCGAAGAGATCGCGCGTTTCGATCCGCGGCGATACGGTTTTTGGAGCGTTTACACTTTCCATCGGTGGATTATATCCCGACCTTGTATTCTCGACGGGCCGTTCCGATAATTTGCAGCGACCTTCGGGTCGGATAGGATCGGCGGTCTTCGAAGACGAGGAGCGATCCTAGGCGTGTTCGTCTTTCTCGTTTCCTCGTTCAACGACGGAAACGGTGATTCCAGTCATCGGACTGTTTAAATGAATTTTTTTTTCACCGCCACCGAACGGTACGGTAAGTTTCTTTTTCCGCTGGATGCGACCTCGAGCGAAACTGCAAACGGGTTTCTCCGGGTTTCGCAATCGGCCGCAGTCGTTGCTTCGATCCGATCGCCGCCTGAAATCTTTCGCGTTCTTTTTAAGGATCCGTCCGCGCGTATCTCGTACGCGACTTCATAATTCGGAGGCCTCTTAGCGAGCGCGAGATTATCCACGATCGAACGACGATCGTAAGATCGATACGGTTGTGCGTGTGTGCGACCGATATCGGCAAATATTTCCGCGGGAAACCGCAGAAAAAAAGAGGGGTGCGCGGGAGATCTTTGTAGAAAGTCGTCTCGAAAGTTCTCGTTTCGAACGGAAAGATCGAATTGTTCGCAATGTTGGAAGTAGCAATTTAGCGACGCGTGCTTATTAATACTTTCTTCCTGCGTTCGGCGAGTAGACGCTGTTCCATCGAAGATCCGAATCTTCCTCGAGCGGATTTCACCGAGAGCTCGTTCTTCCAAGTTTCGCGTTTACGAATCGCGCCGATTTCAAAGGTTACGTCGTATCGTGGAATACCGTATCCGCTTTTGCTTCGAAAGCTGGACGAGGAAACGTTGGCTCGCGGCACCGATCGAGTCGTCGGACGAAACCGAGAGAAAATTCGCGAGGTTTTGCGAAATCGCCTAACCGATTCGCTTCTAGTTTCCATCGACCGATCGCGGCCCGCGGCTCGCGTGATTCCGAGAGCTGCTCGGTTTCCGTTCGGTCGCGCAACAGCGGACTAAATCGTATAATATTCCGTTTTTTTGTCACGCTTCCGTTATCCGGCCACGATAACGAAACCCATTTTCGACGAACGACGAACGACGAACGACAGCGTGTTATCGAACGTCGCGCGTCGCGGAGAAAGGCTTGGTTCGACTTCGCGGCTGCGTTGGCTCGCGGCGTGTCAAATGCCGTTCTTACGCAATTTAACGGTTGCAGCGCGATGTCGTAAGTCGACGACATTCGTTCGTCCGTCCGAGCATCGCGGGTTGGCATCCGAGCGGCTTGTTTCGCGACGAGCGCGAGGCGATTTATGGAAAACGATGAAACGAAAATGAAAATGGCAATGGGAACGATATCGGTGTTAGCATCGCGCGCTATCAACGACACCAAACTTTTCGTGGAAGATCGATTTTCTCGGTTTAGGCGCGTTATACCAGCATGGCGTTCGTTCGGGGCGCCGATATTCGGCGATCGGTTCGCGAGAGAATAAAAAAGCACGCCGGTTTTTAAAACATCTTGCTTCGTCCGTTGGTAAATCGAGAATTTTACGCGTTCGTCCACGCGCTATTTCGAAGCCGTGAAAACGCGAGATCGACGATATCGCGCGTCATTGTTTCAAGCAGACACCGAGAGTTCCCGATATTTTCCTGTGCCGCGCGGGTGCTCGACTTTATCGCGCGAGACTCTTCTTTGCGTCCGCAGCCATTCGTTACGGTGCGTGGAACTACCGTTTCATTGCCGTTTCGGTACCGCAATTATTCCGACAGGTAGTCGTTTCGAAAAGCCGCGTTTCGATATTTCCTGTAACGGCACAGCGCCGCTAACCGATAGTTTCCGAGCGTCTTCTTTCCGCGTCGTGCCGCGTCCCATCCGCGCGCGCGTACACCGCTGCAACAATCTGTACCATAGCGAGTGGATAAGAGTCGCGAGACGCGCGAGACACCGGATAAACGCTGTCGCTCGACAAATTCGCGTTACCTGTTTGGAACGAGATCCGGTCGTCCGTCGAGGAAAGTTACGTCCAGCGAAAGCGTACAGTCGTCGCAGAGTTTCGGGGCGCGTTTCTTCCAAAAGCGATCGGGGAGCGTCGGAAACTGCGAACGCATCGGAAACATACGATAAAAAGCAATCGAAATTTACGAGCAGAGGAGAAACGATGGAAAAGGAATAATACATTTGGTCGGAACGCTCGCCTTCGCTGCCGGGTGTCCGCGATCTACGCCGAATCGTAAAATGATCGGAACGCGCCCATTGATCCGCGAAACTTCGTAGAAAGCGAGGTATCCTAACCGTACGCGCGTCGAGAAATCGTTCGGTTCGGGTGCGGGATTTCGGAACGAATAAACGAACAAACGAACGAATACACGCGTAAACGATAAAAGTATGAAAAGCTGCGCGCGCGACTGCGCGCAACGGGGCGTGACAAGCTCGAACCTAACGGTCCCTGGTCTCGGAGCTCGTCGATCCGTGTTCCGCCGACATTCGCTCTTGGAAATTCGGAAACGCGAACGCTTGCTCTTTCGATCGCGAGCGTTCTCCGTTCCGTTCCGTTTTGTTTCGTTCGCGTGGCAAGAGCCGATAACGCGGAGGGTCCGTTGCGAACACGCGGGCGGAACACGCGAACCGAAACGATCCTCGAGAAACGCTACCAGTTTCGAGTCTCGAGTCTCGAGCGAGCGCGCGTCTTCGTCGCGTTTGTCGGCGTATTCCTCGGAGAACGCGCGGAAACGTTTCGAACGAAAGCTGCGAACTTCCTGGCCGGACGAAAGGGTAAGAGATTCCAAGGTCGAGATCGTCTCGACGAGCGGAGTCTACGACGGGTCTACGAACTCGAACGCGGATCGAACGATCTTCTCGGGATCGCAACGCGCTTGCTCGGTTTGGGCGAGCTGCGACGCGAAATATTAAATATCTCGGGAGAAGAGAAAGTGGACTCGTATCGCTTTCAAATAACGCTCGTACGATCCTTCCGGGAGAGCGCGAAACACCGTTGGACGAGGGAACGCGCGGGAACGAAGACGTTTCGCGATCGCGCGATCGAATGTTATCGATCCGAGGAGAATCGAAGGGTCGACGATTTCGCGCGTCCGAGCCGAACGTCGCAGAATTCGAGCCAACGATCGCCAGGACGCGTCTCGAGGTCGCGAACGTTTCTAAACCGGTTCGTACACGCGGTAACGTACAGTGTGCGAATTTGATTTCGACGGACGGTCCGATTCGCGAACCGATCGTATCCCGCGAACGAATTTGTCGAGGGAACCGTTCGTATTTTTAATCGCGTCTCCGGTCGATCGAAGTTCAGTTTCCGGTTGGCAACCATCGATCCGGAACGCGAGCACCGTCCGACACCCTTCGGC